CTCCCTGAGAGGAGGCTGGAGTGAGGTGGGGGTTGGTCTCTTCTCCCAGGTTACTAGTGATAGGACAAGAGGCAATGGGCTTAATTTGCCCATTTGGGGAGGTTTGGATTGGACATGAGGAAGAATTTCTCTCCTGGCAGAGTGGTGAGACATTGGCCCAGGCTGCCCAGGGAGGTGCTGGAGTCCCCAGCCCTGGAAGGGTCCAAAGAACATGTGGCTGTGGCACTTGGGGACATAGTTTGGTGGTCCTGGTAGTGTTGGGTTGATGGTTGGACTTGATGATCTTGGAGGTGTTTTCCAGCCATAATGATTTGATGATTCTACTGGAATCAGAAGGCACTTGCAGAGGATGCAGGAGATGCCTCTGCCTGTCCCTGCTCTGTCCACTGCCCCCCAAAGGGCCCTGTACCCCAGTCCCTCTTCCTAACCCGGGTCCCAGATAATCCTGTAGCCCCAAGCACAGGAATGTTCCTTGCTGCCCAGCTGGAGGTGCTGCTCCCAGCTGCCGAGGTGTCCCCGTGTCCCCAGCTCCACAGCTGGACCCCTCTGGCTGCTTCTGGCTGCCCCAGAGGACAGAGGGGGGATGTTCCTGAGCAGCTCTCAGCCCTGTGCTGGGGCTGCTGGCAGTGAGTCTCTGCAGGATGGCTCCATTTCAAGCCCTGGGTTTGATCAGGGTGTGGATCACCAGCTTTGTCTGGGCTCTCAGAGGAAGGTCCCCCGGGAGCCCCTGCCCAGTGCCCATGGGGGGATCTCCTTTCAGCTAAGTGGAGCCCCACACTAAATATAGTACTTGAGTTCCCTGGGCAGGATGTGACAGGGAACATTTAAGTGGCTTTATGGCACATCATGCATAGAGTCAGACTTCATTTTTATGTTCTGCTACATTAAAAAAAGAGGATTGATTTTTTGTGTGTGTGTGATACACGTCCAGCTGCTTTGGGATGGAAATTTGAACTCGGTTACAAAACAGAAATCAGCATTTTAAAGAATGCTTTTTATTAGTTAAATAAAACCATGTTAAATGTTCTGGATGCGTGAACAAGAGGGGGGGAAAAAAAGCTGGTTTTGCATCTGAAGTTAATCGATTTATTAAGCAAAGGAAGTTATTATCTATCAGGAGGGATCTGAATGGATTGTTTGTGGTCATAATGGCCTTCAAGATTTTCAGAAGTGGAGATCTCATCCTCACCCACCTCGTTTTGTATCTGAGGCTGGAGGGGAGGAGGGAGCATTGCAGCCTTTTTTTACTTCCCAGTTGGTTTCTCAACTTTGAGTGACCTGAACTAAACTGAGAGGAAGCAGGGACTGGCTGAGCACCTGCAGGAAAGGTTACGGCTGCCAAGAGCTCCTTAGCAGCTCAGCAAATCCTGGTTGCAGGTGATTGATTTATTTATTTGTTTTAAATCCACTTTCAGAGGGTTCATCTGAAATGTTGGCAGTAACACAGGTAACGGCTCGAGAACTCGTTTTCATTTAGCTTAAACTATCCTAAGCTCATGTCTTAATACAGCTGGTCACCATTTCAAGTTGTGCTTTGTGAACGGAGGGATTTGAAGAGCAGAAGTGTGTCTGCTTTCATTTCCAGAGTGCCCCAGCTCTCCTGCTGTCTGCTCACCTGCCGTGGCCACTGGTGCTCTCCTGGCAGCCCAACAGGAGGCACTGCCAGCAGCGAAGCCTCGTGGCTAACTCTTGAGGGAGAAGCTGGTGGGGAGTGCCCTGGAGCTGCCCCCTGATGCCTTTTCTTCTTTTACTCTTGCAGAGAGCAGATCAAGAGGGTGAAGGACTCAGATGATGTTCCCATGGTGCTGGTGGGGAATAAGTGTGACCTGCCGGCGCGGACGGTGGAGACGCGGCAGGCGGAGGAGGGCGGGCGCGGGCCCGGGCCCGCAGCTACGGGATCCCCTACATAGAGACCTCGGCCAAAACCAGACAGGTGGGGCAGGGGCCAGGCACCACCTCCTCTCTTTCCTCTCTCTGCCAGTGCTGTCCTGGAGAGGCAGGAAGGGGCAGAGAGCACCTTGCAGGGAGGGGGGGGCAAGGGCTGGGCTTAGTGGATTCCTCAAGGCTAAATGCTCTGTCAGGATGGTCCTTCCACGGCCTGGGCTTGTGCCTCCAGTCTGGGGAAGTGCATCATTCGTGCTCTGGCATGGGAAGATGCCTTCTCAGGGCTTGCTCCAGGGCTCTGGAATAACCCCTGTTGTCACTGCAAGTCAGCTGAGCTCAGGGACTTGGCCAGCCTCACCCATGGGCTGCTTTGGCAGACCTGCAGGCAGCATGTGCCAGTGCTGGGAGCTCCACACGGGGCTCCCGGAGCACAGAGGTGGTGATGGGGCAGCTGCTGCCTTCAGTGGGGGCTTTCCTCGTGGGCAGAGGACCTCACTGAGTCTGCTGCAAGCTGATTCATCTCAAGGACCCAAGAGCTCCTTGGCCTCATGGTTGCTCCCTGAACCTCACTCTCCATTCGGGGCCCACACTGAGCTCCCCGTTGGTCTTCCCAGCTCGGTTTTGTGCCTTTAGCCCCCCAGTATGCTCTGCTGGGAGGCAGTGCTGGGGGGCAGGGCCCTTTCCTCCCCATCTCCTCCACTGCCCCTCTGGAGGCTGCTTGAAGGGGGCTGTGCCTGCAGGGCGTGGAGGATGCCTTCTACACCCTGGTGCGGGAGATCCGCCAGCACAAGCTGCGCAAGCTGAACCCCCCCGACGAGAGCGGCCCCGGCTGCATGAACTGCAAGTGTGTCATCGCCTGACCAGGGTGAGTGCTGGGCTGGGCTGGGCTGGGCTGGGCTGGGCTGAGCAAAGGCCTCTAGATTCAGGGAGACGCAGCTCAAACCGTTTCGCCGGCGGATAGTTTTTGACAAAACTCTTTTTTGACTGAAATAGCATTTTTCTGTCAAAACCTCGGCAAGTCAAATTCCCCACTTCCCAGCAGAAGTGTGTAGGAGGAGAGGGTTGTTTATTTCCCCCCCTTGTTTTGTGGAACAGAACTCTACAGGACGGAATTGAAAAGCTACGTATTCTGTCCTGCTTTCCCCAGCAGAGCTCCTCCCCTTGCTGCCCCTCTGGAGAGGGGAGAAGCTGCTGTGGAAGGTGTGCAGCCAGCTGTGTGCTCACCAGCCTGGCCCTGGGAAAATCTTAGAATCATAGAATCATTTATGTTGGAAGGGACCTCCAAGATCATCAAGTCCAACCACCGAGCCACCAGCGCTCCAAAGTCCTCTGCCAAAACAGATCAGAATCTGTCAGGGTTGGAAGGGACCACAAGGATCCCCCAGTTCCAACCCCTCTGCCATGAGCAG